ATGTGAAAAACGAATTAGCGAAGAAAATAGTTGGGAATGGAAACGGGAAGAAGAGGAAAGAGTGCGTGAGGCGTCGTTGCATGATGCATGATGCATCTCCTGGCTGGCCCTACACGTTTCACATTAGATAATTAAAATGATGAGAGTATATATAGTACACAACCTCTGAATTTCACGCACTCATTGTGGTTGGCCCCTCCTTCCTCTTTTGTCCACATATATAATACATTTCTACTTTAGTTTTATCTCTTCAGTTTAATTTCGCTTCACAGATATTATTTTACTTCTGATTTTTAGTACTTCTAAGATTTTTATAAACCTTGTCAATCATTAACTTTGGTAATTCGACTAATTTACATATGCTTCATTACTACTTTTTTCCAATTGTCTAACACCGCAACGTACTGAATTTAACTATAAATAAATTTTTTATTTATTAAAATTAATAAAAAATAGTTATATATTATAAATTTATTCTATTTTTAAAAATATACTTAATATTATATAGTCATATTAATAACAATTTATATATTCAATATATAAATATATTAGATAATGTTTGAAAGAGTGGACATAATAATTTTAATTGAGAGTATCCTCTTTACATGTGTAAGACTTTGCCATTTTGGTTTAATAAGTTTCATTGAGATCATCCTCCTTGTATATGTGAGGCATGTCCATTTTGATTGGAGAAATCTAGTTGTGACCATTCTCTTCACGTATGTGTGGCTTGGTTGTCCCTAGTTCCAAGCAAATAAAGATAAATGGATTTAATCATTTCAGATGTGAATATAGAGCTTTTTCACACTGCGTAAATATTATAAATATATGCTTTTATATTGACCATTTTGATTATGTGAAGCTTTACTTTGGTGAGAGATTAACATTCAAAAGTTTAAGACTAACGGTGAGATCAAAATTGTAAATACTTTTACTAGTGACTTTGAGAATTAATTTGATCAATCACACAGTTAACCTTATGATAGATTTCGACAGAATAAAATTCATGTTGATTATATAATTAATCCTAAGGTATAACTCAATAGAACAGAACTCATGTTATATACTTAACCCTAATATAAAATTCAATGGAAGAAAACTCACATAAATCGTAAACTTAACCCTAAGGTGTCTAACATATGTAGCCACTTTTGTTGTTTCAAGGGTCAATAATATACCCTTAGCGTGTTATGATTGAATCATTGAATCACTAATCCTTGTGTCGATTTTGAGTATATCACTTAGTTATGTTTGTGATTTAAAGATTGAAACAGTTTTAACATATTTGTGGTTAAACCACAACCTCTACTAATTTTTTGGTCAATTTATATCATACCTCAACAATTTCATACAACAAAGAAAGAAAGCAATCCATCTATTTATGACAACATTTTCAAATATTATATTAAGAATGAGCATTCCATTTTAAGAGAAATTTTATAGAACACTGTCATGCTTGTTTGATGTTTAGTATAAGACATGTTGACGCAAAGCGTGCTTCTTCAAAAAATCCATCAAGGTATTGATCTCAACAAGGATGTATGGATTAATTTTTTTTTACCAAATTCATCTATTCTTTATTATTTTTAGCAATTTTTCTCATAAATTGACTCATTCTGTTCAAACTACATTGTCATCACTTACTACAATAAAATCAAAAGACATTTAGATAATTTAAAGTATAAAATATCAATTTTAATATTAAAATAGGCTAAAATTTTATAAATAAAATGATAAAATAACATTCTATCAATTTTCAATCAAACCAACATGCATATTTTGTTACATTAATTTATTTTAAATAGAAAAAAATTATATATTAACACATAATATTATATAAGTATGATTTTAACTTATGCATAATATTTTTTATCTTCTAATGTTATTTTTTAAAATTTCATTAAAAATACTTTAATTTTGTTTACACTAACATATTATTATTATTATTATTATTATTATTATTATTATTATTATTATATATATATATATATATATATATAAAATCCGTGAAAATTTTCATAAATATATCTAAAATAACGAGTAAAATAGACATATTATAAAGTTATAAAGATTTAATTATATTGTTGAATAAAATAATATTTTTATTTTAAAAAAATAAAATATGAGTTAAATTTTTATCAAAATAAGAATAAAATATTTTTGTATTTTTTAAATATAATAAAATTTAAATATAGTCCTTTTAATTATTTTTTATTTTTATAAATTTTAAAATAATCTTTATCACTATTTCTTGATGTGACCTGTATTTAGACATTATTTTATGTGTTACTTTAGTATGGTTGAGCATGATTAAATGCCAATTTTTCTTTAATTTTGATATATGTCTTATTAAATTATTTAATTTTGGTACTATTTTTTAAAAAAAATTAAGATTATTTTATATTTCAAATTCATCCTAATGCGCAAAATATTTAGGAAAAAAAAAACATCAAGGGTTTTGGATAGAAAACAAATTGGAGACGAGCAATTTTGTTTAGTTTAAATTAAGGTTATAAAAATAATTATAACTCTCTTTCAAAATCGTGTAGCAAAATTTGTCCAAAAAATAGAATTATTTATTCTACATAAATTTAATATCAAAGCACGCATTAAAGAGAGAGTATTATTCTTTTAGTTTTGCTTGAAAGCTACAGCTCCCGATCGAAATGATTTCTTAAATGATTATGCTAAAATATTGATTGAATCACATTACTTTATTATCAAAGGTATCAAATAACATTACTCTATTAAATACTAATCCGAAACTAATGAGCATTTTAAGGAATCATCACATGGTGATTATTATTTTAAACTTTGGGTCAATTCAAGGGGGACCCCTAAAGGGATGGCATCGTATCGCAAAGGCGACGCTGCAGGGTAAGCTTTCCGACAGTACCAGATGGCCCATTGGCCCACGTGTCACTTAACCTGCGCGTGTCATTCTGATAGCTGTGGCTGGGAATGTGCGAACCACACGAATCTTAATTCTTAAACCCCATGTTGGGCTTTGAACAATTTCTGTGATGTTGCAAAAGCTACATTCACATGCCTCAAATCAAATACTACAGTTTTGGGTCAAACAGTTCCATCTGAATGTGCATGGCCGTGACGCTTTCAAGAATACGGTTGAGCTAACAATGAACCACAGTATCTACCAAACAATGAACCACGGTCAATTCCGTGATTCATTTTTCTTTTGTTTCATGTAGTTGAGCCAAGAAACACATTCATTGGAAATGCAATATTACCATTATGGATAGTACTGTTTTTTAATTAACCTAAGTTCTTTCTGGGTTATGGGGTTGGTAAAAAAAAGTGCATAAAAGATTCTTTGGGGAATATCCACAATAATAAGAATTAATGGGTAATTTACCCGTACGTACCACTTAATGTACTTTCATAACGACAATTGCATTGTAATTATCTATATCTAATGACTGATTAGAGGACTAAAGTGTTTCCAACTCGTTTAGAGTTGTAAGCCAGACAATGGAACAAGAAACGACAGGAGATGCACACACAATAAATTAAAAGTAGAATGAAATTATTAAGACAGAAGAAACAAACACAACATTAATTATACTAATACATTAGTCTGAGCTCTGAAGGATTGATAAGGGATGGTCATAGTGAGTACTAGTGGTAGTATTTAATAAGTGAGAGGTTAACTTATGCTTCAAAATATATAGCCAAATTAAATGCAACCTTATTTCTCGCAGGTTCAATTATTCTCAATTTTCATCACCGTGTAACGTGTATGGGCCACCTATTATTGTCATCCCTATGCATTGTTCTCAAACTCCTTTTTCTTTTTCAGACGTACCTGTGATTGTATTTCAGAGTTTACGTTGGTAAGGAAATAACGTAAATGCTTTTTCTCTCCCACAAAGGGACATACGCAAAAGTTAAAATTGCACATGTAAGTTTAGTAAAATTAAACCAAACCCTTCTAATTAGTACGGATAATTTATTAAAAATAAAGATTGTTTCTCTTTGTCTAATGGATACCGTTCTTTATTACTGATTATATAAATGCCAGCGTTCTGGCGTAAGGTTTACTAATACGTGGCCACTGGAGGGGCACATTGTCCCACTCTCTGAGAAAGTAATAATTTACCGCATCTATGATCCATCACGTGCAAAGCACGACATCCATGGAGAACAGACAAAATGGATTCATTTACTCTTTTATTTTCTTAATCAGAAGCGAGCAATCACTGATGAGTTGAAGATTCTTTATAATTATGAAAATACTAGTTTCGTATAAAAGGTTGGCAATTATGAGATTGGGGACTTTGATCAAAGATGGTCCAACCAAATTTGCTATCTGTGGGGGAAAGTTGAACTTCTTAAAGCTGTTCATTTGTGGTCCGAACTATTATTAATCATCCTAAATCCTGTGACAATAATTACCGTAGCACTCAGTTTTCATAGGTCAAGGTTTGGTCCCTTCCTCTGAAGGTTTCATCTTTTGACACCTGACATTTACCTCTCATCCTGCACTGTTCTTTTTTTTCACAATCTTAAGTCTAATGACACCCCACCAGAGACAAAGGCACACGCGCACAAAGTGTATTGGGAAATGACAGTCCGCACAATTTGATTTGTCTATTGTAATTTACTCTCAACTTGCAAAAGCGGGGGATTATCAAGCATTTAATTCTGAGGTCGATCCAATAAGAACGTGCTCGCTCAACAGTAAGACACGGATGGGTCATGGGGATGCCTACTTTGGTACTAAATTCAAGTGGTTAATCTGTTCCTTTTTGTTTTTAACAGGAAAAATCCATAAGAAAAACATATGTGAAAGTAGCACGGAGTCGGAGATAGATGCTAAATACAGACAGCGTATTGACTCCTGATATGTGTGCTCAATTAGGCCAAGGTTTATTTTAGCCAGCTGAAGAGAAAACGCTATGAGTGGAGCGATACTTTCCCTGTAGGGTTAAACTAGCAAACAAAACAAGAAGGGTCAGAAGGCTCAGAACAACTTGAGGAGGGTAGGGTATAATTTTCTTATTAAAGAAAATTGACGTTAAAGTCATTTTACAGGCATGTTTTGACAAATTAAATCGCAAAATCCGAGCAAAAGTTGCAGTCGATCAAATGGGGGAAAACAAATCGAACAGCCCAAAGAAAGGGCCAAAAGATCCTCCACTTAGTCGCCATCACTGGGCTCGCAGATTCAACAGAACCTTTTCAGGCTTATATCTGAATGAGAAAGAAAGTACTTTGAAAATTCTAGGAAAACACAGGTGGTAACAACTGAAGCTGTTTATATACAAGTTAAACAACTTTTTTTTATGTATAAAAATAACAAGACTACATACATCAAAGACCCAACCAAGCATTCATTCCCCTTTTAACCGTTTGCTCTTACGTCTGAATTAATTTTAAGCGGCAGAGAAGAAGGAAAAAACTTTGGGGGGAGCTGAAACCGTCATCTCCTCCTTCATTCTTCTTGTCCTTTTTACCAAAGAATCCTCTTGACGTTTCCGGGATTTGTTGCCTAATGCTTGCTTAATTCAGGGGCTTCTTTAATGCTCATCTCTACCATTTCAACGGCATTGAAACCTTCGTCTTCAGTGGCTATGGTTGACTGAGAATCGATCCCAGATCCTGCCTGGATTTCCTTGAACATTGCCATGACTTGAATCATCGTCGGACGCCTCCAATGTCGATCATCCAAACAGGAACATGCAACCTTTAGGTGCTGCAAAAGCTCAATCTCCAAATTGGGGTCTTCCTTCATAAGCTCAGGGTCAAAAACATCACTTATTTTCGTCTTGGCATGCTGTTTAACCCATCCAACAAGATTATTATCACCAAAATCAGACGAATCAGTAGGCCTCTTCCCGGTTAGCAGCTCCAACAAAACCACACCGTAACTATAGACATCACCTTTGGTGGAGCATCTAAAGCTCTGATAGTACTCAGGGGGCACATACCCTGGGGTGCCAGCTAATGTGCTCACACTCAAATGGGTATCCATAGCACTCATAAGCCTAGCCATTCCAAAATCAGACACTCTGGCTTCCAGGTTCTCATCAAGCAACACATTGCTTGATTTCATGTCTCTATGAATGATGTGCGGGATACAATTGTGGTGAAGAAAAGCCAATCCCCTGGCAGCTCCAATGGCAATTTTCCTCCTCACTGCCCAGCTCAGCTTGATCCCAGCTTTTTTCTGGTCATGCAGAACATCCTCCAAGCTTCCGTATTTCATGTACTCATAAACCAAGAGCCTTTCCTCCCCAACCTTGCAGTAGCCCAGAAGGGGAACAAGGTTCCTGTGCTTAATTTTCCCAATGGTTTCCATCTCAGCAGTGAATTCCCTGTCCCCTTGTCCACTTACATGTATCAGCTTCTTGATGGCCACAATACTCCCATCCTTTAACTGAGCCTTGTAAACATCCCCAAATCCACCAGAACCGATAAGACTATCATTGTGAAAGCCATTGGTAGCTTCTAGAAGGTCCGCAAAAGTGAGCTTCCTGAGGGGCTTCTCAAACGTTGCAAGGTTAATGCTGAGTGCTTCGCGAGCACTGGTGAGCTTCCAGCTCACATTGGCGGTACCCGAATGAGAGTTCCCATCAATGTAGGCATCAAGGGCAGCTTCCTTCTTCTTCCTCCTCTTTCTGGTCTCAATGGCAATTATAATCAAACCAAAGACGCAGAAGAGGGAAAACAGCAACCCCATGGCCACACTCCCTGCAAGCGACGCCTGCCTCCTATGAGACTTGGTATGTTGGGCACTTACACTAGCTCCGGAGTCCGTCCCACACGGGGAGAGAGGAACTCCACAGAGACCAGAGTTGTTCTGAAACCTGGCTGCAGGGAAAGTATCAAATTGACCTGATTCGGGAATCAACCCGGAAAGATAGTTGTTGGACAAGTCAATCTCAGTGAGTAAGGAAAGACCCGTCAAACTCTGGGGAATTTGGCCTTCCAGCCTATTATTGGAGAGATCAAGGATGTTGAGGTTCTTCATCTTCCCAAGCTCTTGAGGAATGCTTCCAGATACATTATTGTGCCCTAAATTCAAAATGTACAAATAGTACATCTCCCCAATTTCCTTAGGAATACTCCCAGACAACATGTTGTGAGAGATATCCAAAAAGATCATAGAACCATTGTGGTTAAACGTTGGCTGCAACTTACCTCCATAAACTCTAGTGAAATTGCAAGGGTTCCTGGTGGAAATCCTGTTCAGCTGCTGCTGGCTTATCCCCGCAAACTCCAGCAAATTCCCCGCTCCATGACACTCCTTGCTTCCATCATTTTTAATGTAAACATAAGTCTTCCCACTGATGAAATTCACCGCTATCTTCCCCGATTGCTTGAACAACTCCGGCGGAATCGGACCCGTCAACGAATTCGTATTCAGATCCAACCATATCAAACTATTACAATCCCCGAGCTCCGGCGGAATCCGACCGGAGAACGAGTTGTTACTGAGCTTGAGAATGGCGAGATTGGAAAGCTTGCCAATCCACGGTGGAATGTCCCCACTGAGCCTGTTGTTGGAGAGGGAGATCCAGTTCAATTTGGTGCAGTTAACGAGTCCAGAGGGAATGTTCCCACTCAACTCGTTAAAGTCAAGGATCAAATTCTCGAGAGTGGTGATATACATGAGTTCCTGTGGTATCTCTCCGCGGAGCTGGTTGAGCCACATGATTAAATCTCGAAGCTTCGAGAGCCTGCCTAGACTCGGAGGTATAGTCCCCTTGAGATAGTTGAAGCTCAAGTCCAAAGCAACGAGGTTGGAACAGTTGCTGAGCGTGGGTGGAATATAACCCGTGAAAAGGTTATTCTGTAGGTACAGTTCCCGCAAATTATTCCCACCATCTACGCACAGGGTTCCCGGGATTGACCCGCTGAAGTTGTTCGAACTCAGATCCAGCGATTCCAAACTCACTAGCTTCGACAGTGACTCGGGGAGGCGACCGTCGAACTCGTTGAACGCCACCGCGAGTTCTCTCAGGCTACTCATCTGAGTCAGGACGTCCATCGGCAGCGAGCCAGTGAACTTATTGCTAGATATGTCAAAGGATTCTAGAGAGGTGCACGCGCCGAACGCGCCGGGGAGGGGGCCGGTGAGGTTGTTGGAGGAGAGATCGAGTTGAAGGAGAGTGGGGCAGAGGTCGGCGAGCGAGGGCGAAATCTGGCCGTCGAAGTGGTTGGCGGCGAGGTAGACGAACTGGAGGGAAGCGGAGGGGAGAGAGTGAAGCGGACCGGAGAACTGGTTGCTAGAGACGTTGAGGTAAACGAGGCGGTTGCAAGGGAAGAGAGTGAGAGCAATGTCGCCGAAGTACTTGTTGGCAGAGAGGTCGAGGTACTGGAGGGAAGAGCACTCACCGAAGGAAGGAATAGGGACGGTGAAGTTGTTGGAGGAAAGGTCCAAGTACTGCAAAACGGCGCAGGCAGTGAAGTCGGCTTGTCCTGTGATTTTGTTTCCTTTGAGAGCTAAGTGTTTGAGGTCCTGGTTGAGGATCCAAGGGAGAAGCCCTGGCCCTATAATCTTGTTGTATGAGAGGTCCACGACTTGGAGGTTGAGCCTCCAGCGTGGCGAATCGAATTGGAGGAGGTTGTTTGAGAGGTTGAGGGATTGGAGGTTAGAGCAGAAGGGTAAAAACGACATGTCCGATAGGGAACCCGAGAGGGCGTTTTGGGAGAGATCTATGGTGGTTAATGAGGACGCGCACTTTGAAGTGTGGCTTGAAACTGGGCCCGTGAGGTTTGTGGATTTCAGGGAGAGGAGTTCGAGGTGGTCGAGGGTGAGGAGGTAGGTCCCTACCATGGAGAGGTTTGTGCTTAGGGGTATGGAGGTGAGGTCTATGGAAGTGAGGTGGGTTTGGTTGCAGGTGATTCCAGTGAATGAACACGCGTTTTCGTTTGGGAGCCAGTTTGGGAGCACCGAGGGGTTGGGGAGAGAAGCTTTGAAGCTGAGGAGCTGCTGAGTGGGGTCTCTGAGTGAGTGTGAGAGATTGCAGAAGAAGAAGAAAAATAGCACGAGAGAGTTTCTGTACAGAGGTTTCATTTTGGGCAAGGAGAGTGAGAGAGTGGGTTGGTGTTTCTGTTTGTGTTTGTGTTGAGTGGAGAAATGGAGTTTGCTTTCAGGGTTTGAGCTCTGCCATTAGAGAGAGAGAGGGAAAGAGCTCATAGCACGCAAGTTAGCTCTGGTTCGGAGAGTGTGTGTAAAAATGAAATGAAATGAATATTAGAGAAAGAGAAAGAAAAGCAGAGTCAAAAGTCGTAGTAAGGAAGGTAAGAAGGGTATTTATCAAGTTGAAGAGTGGACACAGCTGTTGCTCACATGCCATGTGACACTCCTTGTTTGTTAATCTCTTTCATCTAAGCTTCTTCACTCCTCTTCCCTGTTTTATCTTTCTTTTTTTTCCTTCCACTCTCCATATTGCTATCTACTGTCCATTATAAGCCAATTAAATTAAGTCTTCCATCCTACTTCTACTACTTAGTTATAACAAAAATGTCCCTACTAAATTAAAAGATAAACACATTTAATACCATTAAAACACAAATACCTGCATTTATTTATTCTTAGTAACTAAAATAATTGTCGAGACAACTCATCATTAATTTGTTTTACCCATGAATAAATTTACTTTTTTATAATTTTTTAGTCAATAAGTTCCTAAAATTTAAATTTTGACATTTTATTACCTATCTAGAATTATCAAATTGACATATAGGTTAAAAAAAATATTATTTTAACTTTTATTAATCAAAATAGTAAAAATTATTTGAGACATTTTAGTTTATTAATTATGTTAGACGTCATGTCTTGATTAAATATATTTTGGTGAGGATTTAAGTTTATTAAAATAATTCACTTGAAGAGTAACATAACAAAACTATAAAAGATGCACAAATATTTGGAAAGATCAAACTATCCAAATTAGTGTAGATAGTCTAATCAGTTTTCTATTATTTAAATATAATCATTTTACATTTTCTTACATTCAAATATTGACACAATTGATAAGAAGAATCAATTTTTATTGTATCTCGAATGTTTATATATATATATATGGAAAGTATTTTTTATATTTAATATGAATTTTTTATTTAACTTAAATTTAACAAGTTATAAGGTGTAAGAATTTTTAGACTTATAGTTATATATATATAACAAAATTAAGTAAGCCGTTTAAACTAAGTGTAATCAGTCTGGATCATTTGCTATTACTCCCTACTCACGTTTAATTATTTTACAATTGCTTACCTTTACTGGCTCTAGAATGTATATATATAAAACAAAATAACGCATCATGAACTAATGAATATTTGAAAAGATTGATCCGTTCAAACTAAAGTAGACAACCTCGATCACGTTATTTTCAGGTTTAATCATTTTACAGTTACTTAATTTCAAATTCTGATACAATTGTGAAGGAGAATCAATCCTTGTTGGCTTCGAATGCTTACATAAAAATTATATATATATAGTTACTTATATTTGTTGAACAAATAAAGATATAAAAAAATTTGACCCATCTAAACGAGTACAGATAACATGCCTTATTTGTAGTTACTCGCATTCAAACACTAATATGATTGTAATAAGAAAGTAATATTTGTAAACTACAAAAACAATCTTTGAGTCTATTAAATTACAAATGAGAAGAAAAAAAATGTATAATGATCTGATTGGGTTTCCATAAAACATATTATAAATGAACGTCAACGTAGTTAAATGTAGATGAGAAAACTTAAAATACGTTTTTCAAGTATTTTTCAACGTAGTTATAAAGACAAATTATGTTCATTTTACTAATTTTAGTGAAGGGAGCTTAAATCCCTTCGATATGTCATCTTCGTATTTTTATTTTTATTTTCTTTGACTTCATGCGTATAGAAAAAATAATTACAAATAAATGTTTTAAATAATATTAAAACTAGTTTAATTGATAATTAATATACATTTTTTTAAACAGGTGCCTGATACAATAAAAAAAATGAAGTCGTATATTTCATCCATAATAAAAATCACAAACCCTAGATTTAGATCGAGTATTTTTTTATTTAAATTAAATTATTTATGTTTTATTCTAATTTCCCATAATCAACATTTCCTTCGCATGTATTAAAAATCACAAATCATAGATTTAGATTGAGTATTTTTTTTTATTTAAGTTAAATTATTTTTGTCTTATTCTAACTTTACAAAATCAACATTTCCTTTGCAAATGTATTGTTAACTGATAATATAAAAATTTTTGTGGAACACAAACAAATTTTTAAAAGATTACAAGACAAATTTTATTGTTATAGATGAATTCATTTATAGGTAAAACTATCTATTTTTCCTATTCATAAGCTATACAAACAAATTTTTACACTTATCTATAATTTATTGACAATTTTTACCATCTAAAAAAATTACAAATGGATATATCTATTTGTAAATTGTTAAAAAATAGCTTAAAATTTTCAATTTTTAGATGAATTTACCGTTTGTAAAACTATAAACAAATTTTATTGTGTGTAAAGTTATAAACAGATTTGATTTTAATAAAATTACAAACGAATTTTACTTTTTGTAATGAACATGTTTATCTGTAATTTTTTGTTTTTTTTAATTGTTTACTTTTATAATTATTACTCTAGGTTGTTAATTATCATAATAATCAGTAAATATAAGGAAATTATAAAATAAAATTTTAAATTTAAAAAAATTGAAAAAATTATAAATTAAAATATTATTACAATAAAAAAAGTAAACATCCAAAATAATAATATGAAAAATAAAATAACAAAGTTTGAAGAAATACAAAAATAATCACGAGTTCTTAGTGTCATCAATATTTGCATAGTCACTAAATCTTCTCGCTCTCATAAGTTTGAAGAATGCATACATTTACTATATATGCATTTACTGCATCTCTGCATATACTACTATTGCAGCTCCCTCTACATTTTTTATGTCACATTTTTTTTTTACCTTTTCCATTTTTTTGATCAATTTTTTTCTTCTATGCAATCTTCTTATTATTTCACATCTCTTCATTGTGCTTCTAGAACTCTTCATTTACGGCATAAACTTAAGTATTGACCATATCTTTCACCTTCTTAGACACAAAAGAAAGGGTATCCTCAACAACAAATGCAAGAGACGTTGGATTACATGAAAAATTTGTCTGTAATTAAGTATCAGAAAAGGTAAACTTATGTTATAATATAATAGATGAATTTTACCGTCATATATTAATTTCAAATTACAAACAAATAAAGTCATATTTAATCCATCAATAATATAGTTTTTTAAAATATTAAATTTTCATTTATAATTTTTTTCTATACATGTTACGCGTTAGCATATGTTTACTATAACAATTAGAGATAAATTTACCTCATAAATAAAAAATCTCAATATTAAGATATATCATTTGTAAAATGTCATCTTTACATTAAACACGATTATACTTAAACGTAAGTCGCACTAGCTTAATTCTATTTATGTTATATGCATAAGTCACACATTATCAAAATATAACACTGGACAACATATTGAGGACGACCATGTTAATCATTACTAAAAAATATAAGTTGTCATAGGCTAGTGCAATTTGCATAAACATAAGTATGCTCATTGTCAACATATGCATGCTTAAATTTGTATAAGATCATAGGCCTTGTATGACTTCTATTGACAAAAAATTTAAGTTGTCATAGATAATTACATCGGTGAAAAGAGAAGGTGTAAAAAAAAGTTATAGAATCTAATATTCTCTTTGCATTTTTATTCTTGAATTGAAGTAAAAAATTTAAACAAATATGTCGAATGCGATATGCATGATGTGCCATAAGAAATGTCATTCATTACCTTTCACATTTAATGTAGTTTTTATACATAAATGTTTGTCAAAAATTATAAGAATTTCTTCTTCTAAGGTGTCATATTGTCAAAGATTGCTAAAAAAAAAAATTATTATTTCTTAGTTTCTTCCTCAACTAGGGCAAATGCATCTTCCCAATAATACATCTTTATTTAATATTAAAAATCCAAATATTAATTCACCTTAATACTTTTTTTATATTTTAATATTAACAAAATTCTTCATAATATACTTTGTTAATAAGATGCACGCACATAAAATTTATAAAAAAAATTGTGTAAGTTGAAATAATTTCATTCATTAAAATCTAAAATATGTATGATAACAAAAAAAACAATTTGCTAATTATTTTTTCTTTTTAAGACTTTTTATTGTGATTTATAACTTTCGTCTATACTTTAAAACTAAGTTAATAATTAAAATTTGTTAAATTACTTTATTATTAAATATATTTATTGAGCAATGTAACTATGTAAAATAAATTATTTAAATATTTAAAATGAACTTATGAAAAAAATATGTAATTCAAGTTTCTAATTAATAATTATAGCACTTTTACTGTACTCAATTCAAATTTAATTAAGTTCTCAACCGACAACTTTCAGAATCTAAATTTTATAACATGTTTTTTGTAATTTCATATACAAATAAAGGAGTGAGAAAAATCCAATGGTAGCGAAAGTAAAAAAAGAGATGGCATATAACAATTATATTTCTGAAAAGAGGCAGAGTAATCGGTTTTTACAGTTATTTGGATTTCTTGTATCAGCAAATGAAAAATAAAAAGCGAATCTGGCTAGCGACAACAAAATTTATCTCGTTCACTTCAGTTTCGAAAACTCTCACGTCGCTTCTGCACTGCTACACTGGCCGAGTTTTACTATCGTCACCCACCTCCACTCACAATTCTGTCTTACCTTTTTACTCTGCTAACACTTGATCTCATAAGCTGACCAGGAAGATCCACGTCCATGTTTTTAATTTCGTGGCATTCATCAAAGTTAAATAGTAGCATCAAGGAATTATACTCTTTTCATTGTTCGTTTAAATTTTCTTTTAAAGTACTCAAAAAGTTTTGTAAAAAATCTAAATAATAATATTTTAATACCTTTTAATGGTAAATAATAATTTTTTACTAAACTGATCCATACTTAAGTCACTTGAATCTTTGAAAAAAAGTTAGATGTTAAATGAGGGTGACGTGGCTGTCAAGTTGTCATCGCCTATCATTCTCTCTTTTCTTTGCAGCAAAATTGAATAGAAGATAAACTAAACAAATAAAAAAGTTTATTCACTTCTCCATAATCTAAATAAAGAATGATTTCATAAGTGGGACTCACCATTGATGGGTCTCTCCTCAGCATGAATAAATGGACACTGAAAATGGGGAAAAAAGGTTTCGGTAATTTTATGAATGAAAGAAAGATAGTGAAAATAATAATAAAAAATATAATTTATATATATTTGTTAATAATTAATTTTTTAACCTA